AGTTTGGATTGTACACTAGCTCTGATATTGGGTACTTTTGTGTAATCCTAGGTTTCTCACCACATCAGGAGGTTATAACTCTATCATGACCGTGTTGTGCTAGCTCCCCTACTGGAGCTACCTACTTCCATCCAATTTCCCTGCTCTTTTCCCCCAAATCTTTTTATATCTTCATTCTTCACTTTTGATTTTCCCCTTTCCGATGTTGCAATTGACTTGGCTTCAATGGCACCAAAAAAACAGAATTTAACCATTTTGCCAAAATGTTGCTTCTTGTCGCCCTCCAGTATAATCCTGGTAACAATCCTGAGATTTCACCACTCCTGGTATGGTTTTACTTTAGGATGCATCGAGACAGTGGAACATGTTCTAGCTAGGACATAGGTTTAGAGTTGTAAAGGCTAATTTCGGTACAGCTTATTAGGAAGTTTTCTTTAATCAGCGAGTAATCAGTGACTGAAACAGGTTGCTAGCCAAGAATTCTGGATTCATTTAAAAAGCAGCTTGGGTTTTGGGGGGTGGAGTTGAAAACAGTAGGGTGGGTATTCTGGAAGAATGGGCTGAAAGGCCTTCTTCATCCAATCTTGCGTAACACGCAAAATAGAAACTAGGTTAAAAAAGTGTGTGTTGCTGGGCACTGGCTTTAAAGTGGGAACCTGGTCCATGTAGCAGCATCGCTGTCCATTCTTTGATAGACTACAAGTTCACAAAGCACCACATTAAAACCATTTCCTTTGACAATATCTGGGCTCTTAATAACTGTGGTTCTCATTACTATTTTTGGCAGTGATCACAGACCTGCAGAGTTGTTCATGGCTGACAGTAAGCAGAACATGACATTAAATTATGGAGTGATAAAGCAGGAGGCAAAAAAACTCTCACCACTCAGACAAGCAAGTCAATTGAAGTTTGATGCTTCGCGTTAGTTTCCGCCGGTTTCAGCCAACCAAAACTGTATTAATTGCCTGAATGAATTATAAATGTGTTTGAGGCTCTTCACCATCCGTGTGAACATGAATTCAAGGAGAAATGATGAATGGTTCAGCCATGGTTTGAATAAAGATCCCCTTAAAATTTCCAGACCTCACTGTCTTAGCCTCAAGATCATTTTTCCTAATATTTAACATTTTACGGAATTTTGGACAACTTGAATTGTCCACACAACTCCCATCTTCTTGCCTCCCTCCACTTCTATAACTATTCACATATCCTCTGGGTCTCAGACACATCTTTTCTTTCACTAATCTCCCACTATTGCCTTCTTTTGTCCTGCACTATCAACACCTCTGATCTCATCATCTACTGTCCACCACATAATTTTTTCCTTTGCCTTTTCTTTTCTTGCCCCCTTCTCTGTTTGTGCTTCTAAACTGCTCCCTCCCAACATCCCCCAATTCTGATGAAAGGTCATCGACCTGAAACATTAACTCAATTTCCTCTCTCCAGAGATGTTGCCTGACCTGCTTAGTGCTCTCTGCGACTTCTGTTTTTATTTCTGAATTCAAGAGTGTTTTAGAATTCTATACAATCATAAATTTCAAGACCAGGCAAATCCAAGAAACATCAAGCCTTTGGTGTGGCCAATTTATAAGGAATACGTAGTTCTGGAGGAATGGCCTTGTGGGTTGCAGGAATTCAAACTGTCTTTCTTATTAAGAAATCCCATTAAGAAATACCTCAAATTAGACCCAATTGTCCCGAGTTTATCTTGTTAAGCAGTGTAGAGCCTGACCTCCTTTAGCCACACTGCAAGGCATATTTAACACCTCCTATTGTTCCCTTCAAGAGATCACTTAAGGTTTCAAAGTACAAAAGATCTAGCTCGAAGAGTTTAGTTGAATGCTTCTGAACAATAATGCTGTGTTCTTTACTCTGCCTCTGTTTTGATTGATGGTTTGGCCCAGGCTGTAGCCTCAATTTTGCCTGAGAGACTGAGCCAAAGGATTTCCCCTTTTTAAGCCATCAATCTGCTGCTCAACAGTCAGATGTACCAATAAACATTGAACTTAGTCATTAAAATTGGTGGCAGCTGAAGCAGACTTTTGAATGTTTGTCAGTCATTAAGAAATAGGTTTGGAGTTTCCAATGAGATGAACATTCAAAAGTTGTTGGTGCTGGGTTCAAAGTATTGAAACAAACAAAATATGAATATTGGATGTCCTTATCGCTAGGGTTATATATGCTCTGGCCAGACAGGATTTATTATACCTTTGAGGCTAAATATACCAATGCAGTTCGCTAAACGTCAGTATAGTGGTTGTGTAACAACAACAAAATTATATTTGTAAAGCGCCTTTCACATCGGGAGGTCATCCCAAGGCTCTGAACAGTCAGGGATCAGGATCCGAGTGTGGGGGGTCAGGGTTGGGATGAGGGAGGGCAGAGGGGGTAGGAGAGCGGCTGAAGATACAGTCAAAAAGGAGGGACTTGAGTCGTGCCTTGAAGGAGGCAAGACACGGACAAAGACAAAGGGATTGTTGGAAGGAGTTCCAAGGAGTGGAGGCAGAGAGGCTGAAAGCCTGGCCACTATGGTAGGGCGGGTCAGGCGTGAGGCCTGCTGGACAGAGGGAGTGGATAGGTTGATAGGGTTTCAGCAGATCAGAGATGTAGGAGGGGCTAAGGCCCTGGAGGATCTTGAAAGTGAGGACAAGGATTTTGAATTCTATCCTCTGTGGGATAGGGAGCCAATGGAGTCGGACGATGGTGGCAGTGATGGGGTCACGATCCTGGTGTAGGAGAGGACACGAGCTGTAGAGTTCTGGATGATCTGTAGCTTGTGGAGGGAACAGTTGGGGTGGCCAACAAGTAGGGGAGTTTCTGTAGTCGAGCCTTGAGGTGACAAATGTGTATATGAGGGTTTTGGTGGCCTGAGGGGTGAGGCAATGGCAGTGTTGGGCAATGTTGTGGAGATGGGGAAAGACAGAGCGGGTCATGGTATGGATATGGGGAGAAAGGACAGTTGTGGGTTGAACAAGATGTCCAGGTTCCTGACTGGCTTGGTGAGGTGGCGTGTGCAACCATGGATGCTGATGCTACCAGTGTCTGAGGTGCTGAGATGCTGGCGCGAGCCAGTCAGGAGGGCCTCAGTCTTGCTGACTTTCAGCTGTAGAAAGTTGCCTCTCATCCAGGACTTGATATCAGACAGACAGTCTGTCAGGACGTCAGTTGTCCTAGAATCAAAGGTGGAGGCAGAGAGATAGAGTTGGGTGTCATCCGCGTACATGTGGAAGTTGACCAACTGTCTGCGGATGATGTCACCAATGGGGAGCATGTAGAGGTTGAACAGGAGGGGACCAAGGATAGAGCCCTGAGGAACACTACACAAGACTGTGTGTAGTCTGGATGAGAAACCGTTGGCGGAGACAAATTGGAGACAAACAATCATTTCAACAATTGTTGTTAAGCCATAATTGTTGAGATGCCATTCAGCGACAAGGGCGCTATATAAATGCAAGTTGTTGTTGAGAACAAAATGATAGTATTCTCTCTGTGACATTATGTCATACTTAATTGTTCTAGCTGAAGCCCTGTGCGAGGACTTGTCAATGAATTTCAAACAGCAAGCACCCCCGTCTTCTCAGCAGATTGACTTAAGATCCTTATTCTAACGTTCAAATTTGTCCCAGCCTACCTCTGCTATCTCCCTGACTATCAGGATTGGCCTGTGCATGCCCCCCATTCTCTACAATTAGCGAGTGAGCCTTCACACACCTTGCCTTGTTGCAGCTCTCTTAAATTTCTCCACAATGCACCCTCCCTTTCCACTTTTCCAACCCTTCTAAAGTCCTATCCATTTGACTGAGCCTTCGATCATCTTCCTCCAACAACCCCACCCCCTCCCAACCCCCATCACCATGCTTACACCAGCACTCCATCTTTATAAAGTACTTTAAAATGTTTCATTTTGTGAAAGGCACTGTGTAAATTATATATTTTGTTGTCATATCCCTCACAATAATTATATGCGCACAGCAATGTCCCACAAACAACCACGATCCATTTTATCTCGGGGACTGTTGCCAGGACACTGGGAGGGAGAAACTGTATTCTCTTTTGAATGGTGCCAGGAGGATCTTTAATGGCCACCTCAACCTTGGTATAATGTCGCACCTGAAAAACAGCACCTTCAACAATACAGCGCTCCCATCCTCGCCCGCCTCCACTGTCTCCCCATCACACAGAGGATACAAGATCAAGATCCTGGTCCTCACCTTCAAAACCCTCCATAGTTTTGCTCCCTTCTACCTATGCGACCCCCTACCATCCTGCTCACTCCCTCTGCTCAGCGGGCTCCGGCCTGCTTCACGTCCCCCGCCTCACTCGCCCCACCATTGGCGGGCGGGCCTTCAGCCACTCTGCCCCCACCCTCTGCAACTCCATCCCGCAGTCCCTCCGCCCTCCTCGCCCCTCCCTCGCCTCCTTCAAGACCCACCTCAAGGCGCTATACAAATGTAATGTTGTTGTTGTTGTTGTGAAGCGCTGCGGGGCGCTACCCCGCGTGAGGGGCGCTGTATGAGTGCCAGTTGTTGTGAGAAATTTCTGAGAATGCACCACCTCCCTCAGCCCTGCTCTGGAGGCTCAGAAAAGCTCATGAGTTCAACTCCCAGGACAGCAGCCCCACCCCCACCTCCACACCCCCCCACCTCCAACTACCCCCCCCCCGCCCACATCACCACCAGCCCTCCGCACCCTCACCTCCAACCCCCCCACACACCACCAACCCCCTCCCCTCACTCACCTCCAACCTCCCCCACCACACCATCACCCACTCCCCCATCACCTCCCCCCACACCTCCAACCCCCCCACACACCCACCAACCCCCTCCCCACCCTCTCCTCCAACCCCCTCCCCGGGGCCCCACCACTCACAGTGTTTGCAGGCCCGAGTGGCAGTCCCGGGCTGAGGCTGAGGCAGACTCCCACGCGGTGTACCCGAGGCCCGGCGTCCGTCTCCCTGACAACCGCGGCCAGGCTGACCCCGGACGTGATGACGCGCCGCGGGTCAGGAGCAGCGCAAGATGGCGGCGCGCGGGGAGTGAGTGGCCGGTCTGCCCGGGGGAGCCGCAGTATGTTCCGCTCGACCTGGCGCCGAGCACCAGGTACGTGTTCCGCACCCACCCCACCCCTCCCCACCCCCACCACCGGGCATCGGTCAGCGGGAGGGGCAGCGCGGGACCGGCGTTGCGTTGCCACCTGGTGACCCGGTCACCTTGAGGGGGGAGGGGCGGCGCCTTGAATGGACGGGGATATAAAAGCGGCGCCAACGCCCCACGTTTATTTATTTATTTATATATATATATATATAGTGTGTGTATATATATACATATATATATACTGTTATGGAGGGTCAGGAAAGATTATGGGTTCAGCTCCTCAGGGCAGCATCTCTGACAGTGCCACACCCCCTCTGCACTGAGCTTTAGAGTATAATAATGATGACGATGATGATGATGATGATCATCAGTGCATTTGCTACAGCGCCTGATCACGACTTCGCAGAATATACCGTAAAGCGAATGACATGTTTTTGTGGGCGAAACGGGGCGGCCGATGGCGCACGGCAGCGTCCCCACAAACTCGTGGATTGAAGTGACCGAATAATTTTTGTGGTTGTTTTTTCTTGAGGGATTATTATCAGGCACGTGGAGCAAGGAAACTTACCCAAGGTTTAGCCCTGCCAGGAATCGAATGCAGGTCTCTCGCTTGCGATATATTATATATATATATATATAATTGCAATAAATTCACATATTAGTTCATATAACCCCTTTCCCACCACCACAACACTTCTCTGCTCGGTGCTAGCCTGGTGATGCCAGGTTGGTGGCAAAAAAGCTGTGGGCTCAAACCCTACGTTGGGACTTTGAACTCGCATTGTCTCGGGTGGCTGATCACCCAATGTGTTGCTGGGCGAACACTTTATTGTCATTGATGCAACCCTTCTGACGACTGGTTAAACCAAGGTCCCTTCTGCCTGTTCGGGTGGATGTTTAAAGATCCCTATCGAAAGAGCCCAGATATGGTTGAAGGAAATGGTTTTACTGTGGAACTTTGTGAATTTGTAGTCAATCCCAGTGACCCTGCCAATAGTTCCTCCACACACACTGTAAAATTGCTCATTCAATTCGTGGCTGTATGTGGGACATTGCTGTGTGCAAATTGGCTACTGTATTTGCCTAAAAAATCACAGCACAATCATTGCACTTCACAATAATAGTCTTTGCATTTGATACAAATAAAATCCTGTGAAACACTTTGAACAATCCTGGTGTGAAGGAAGTTCTCTTGAGTTATGAGGCCTTTAGTTATATATAGACCCCTCACGTAATATTTTAACAGTGGAAGAAATAAAGTTGCATTTTTATAGTACCTTAGATCAAAACACCTCACAGATAGGGCTATTTTTATACACAAACATGGCAGTCATTTGCTTAGTCAAACAACAGCATCTCCAACAAGCCAGGGCTTCCTCAGTTCTGCACTGGAGTATCAAGTCTAGACTGAGCTGAACTGTTATTATTCGGCTTGAATTAATACTCATCTGACCAAGCAATGAGAGCTCATAAGTGATTCAAACAAAGAATGACAAAGAAGCCAGTTTTGAAAAAAAAGAGATGCAATTTTGGTAGGACCATAATTTCACGAAGAATTATCAGCTATCAATAACCTAAACACATTTGTCTGTTAAGTCAGAGTCCAGACACACAACAGCTGCCCAGTTTATAGTGGATGAGGGAGTTCACTTACAGGATCAATTGGGAGACTTGAAGAGAAACAGTATTCTTAAAATCATATTTTACCACAGCAACGTCTGAAGGTTTTTTTTCCCTCTTGTGCTTCATTGAGTTCATTAGTTTGCTGTATGAAGAATCATGAGTATGAACTACTTCATTCAATTGAGTCCAAAGCCTACTCCTCTTTGCTAAAGTAACAACCACATTGAAATTTAAATTGTGTTTTTTCTTACAAGTAGGCAATAACAGTTAACTAGAAGAATATGTGTTTATGATATTTTATGGGCAAGTATCCCGTTACTAAATTGCCCAATTGGACAAATCACAATTAATAAAAAAACTTACAATTCATATCATGTCTAAAGACATGTCAAAGGTAGTCTATTTATGTGCAAGTTTTATATTAAGGATGAGCTGTTGGTGCTTTTCAGATTTGTAAGATGTTTTATTGGAAATTGTTACAAACTCGTCATAACAACAACTTGCATTTATATAGTGCACTTTAAGCAGTAGCATCACGGAGCGCATAACAGCAGAGTTGGCTTCACTCCGAGCCAGTAAAGGGTGGGAGGTGCCCAAAAGCACGGTCAAAGAGGAAAGTATAATTTGAAGTTGGGCAGAGAGGGGGCAAGGCAGAGGGATTGAGGCAAGGAGTTCCAGAGATTCAGGGTATAGTGTTTGAAAACAAGGCTGCCAATTGTGAAGCAGAAGGGATGAGGCAAGTACAGCAGACATTTGCCAGCTGAGCAAAGGTGGTGGGGAGAGTTAGGAGATGTCAGTGCGTAAGTGCATAATATTGGTTGAAGGAAAATATTCCATAGAAAGTCCTACTGAGAGATAGTAATGCAAAATGTTTTAACTGAAACCCCCATATAGTCCTGTATGTAAGGACGCAGAGATCCTCTTTTGAAATGAAATGGGGGATATTAGTTGATAAGCACACAATCCCTTTCCTTTGGATATTCTTTGAATGCAGGTGAAACAAATAAAATAGAAGTCTCCTGTGTGACAGCACTAAGCGCCCTACAACTTTGACTCAGTCTTTGGACACGTGGAGTTTCCAACATGAGTATGATTATAGTTTGAAGTTACAAAAATGGAAATAAAAATTGGGCTATTTTTTGATTCTGCGTCGCGAAGTGATGAAGATACACAGTCCAAACCTTGGGTTTTGGGTGCTCTTGTCTGATTGAATTAAGGTTTGTAATTGGTCACAGTCCTATTTTATTATTAAATAGGATCTCCATGTCCAAAATTGGGTGCTCTGGCATGGTGTAGGATAATGGACTGGCTGAGATTGGTTTACTGTGCCTCTATGTTAAGCCACACAGTAAGATGTGGTTTGTGGGTATGATATTGCACATGCCACGTAATGAATGAAGAGAGAAATGAAACAAAGTCTGGATACTTCTCAACAAGAAAAAAAAAGTGCCTCTGCTGCTCTTACACCCCAGATGTCCTAAGGTTCTCAATGTCTTAAGAGCATTGTCTTCAAATTTCACAGAAAGCCTGACTCCAAATTAAAACTAAATGGAAGAATTTTCTAAAATTCTTTACCATTTTAAATTTGAAGACAATAATCTGAAGCTAAGAGGAATTTTGGTCTGCTTGAGAGGGACAGTGGCTGCTGCTTTATACTGTGCAGTTTCCGGCCTAAAATAGTTGAGGGGAATGCTGAGAAATAAAGAAGTTGCATTTTGGTTTGTTGCATTGTATAATTGGCTGCAATTGAAGCTGCGTGATTGGATTTATGGATAGTAGCAAAGGCTACTACAGTTTGAGTTCCTGAACAAAATTGACACTTTAATTACTTCATATATTTCTGATATCTTTGTAGAAAGTGCTGCTTTTAGAGGATAAAGCAATGATTATGATAGCTAGGCTGTCTGATATTGGGTGTCTAGACGAAGGTTGGAGATGAGTCAGCGAGGATGTAATTTGGCTTCTTATCTGTCATTGTTTTAGTGATGATGTCCAGCTGCTTCTTGATTAATATTATAATGGACGTATTAGTTTGAACATCATTGGGTGATTTATTACTGAAAAAAGTTCTGCCTTAGTCCTGGAAATTAAGCTGAATTCTGCTCTTAAAGTAATCCATCTTTGATTTCAGCCATTTCCCTTCAACTGTAAATGAGATATTAGTTTAATTAATCAATTTAAGCAGTGAGGTGACTTGAGGGGAAGAAGGAGAGAGAGATCACTGTAGAGAATACTGCAGTAGGACAGCAGGGAGATTGGTCAGGCTTGTCAAGAGGACATTAAGTGTTTGAGGAACCAATTGGAAACAGAAATTATTGGCTTTGCTGTGTCGACACTTTCCACAGAAGGTGATGAACAGCTGGAATGGGCTACATGTAAGGGTGGTAGAGATTCATTTAAGAAACAGCTTGATGGTATAATGGGGAGACACTAAGATTGGTTAGATTAGAAGCCCACAGGCCTTCTTCATCTGAACCACTCCATTGTGAAATGGATAACAGAGAGGGAAAAGTGGGAGAAAATTAAAGGAAAATGTAAGATTGGCGCAAAATTTAAATGAGCCATATTATTTGTGTCATTTTGTTCCTTAATCTAAAAAAAGTCTTGAGATTTCATATTTGGTCCTTGAAGACCCACAGGTTAATGATTGTCCATTGTTGTGTGCGCTGCTCTGCATTCAGCCACAGGGAATGGATGGACCTTTTTGCCTATGATTGTGTGTACAGTAACTAGCCAAGGTTGAAACTCATTGTTGCAGCTCTCAGACTACACATTTATCTCAGCAACCAACAGCAGGCTTCTAATCTTCCTGCTTTATAACTGAATTTTCAGCCATGTACAGCTGTAAATTGTTTGATGTAGAGTTGCTTCAGAGATTGTCCTGCTAACAATTTAATCATAACAATTTCCACATCCCTTTTTAGTGCTAGTTTTCCATCGTCCCATTTTAATTGGTGCCAAAAGGCTACATCAGCACTCAAAATTAAGCACTTGCAGGGCGTTTCTGCTTAATGTTTGTGTAGAGCATGAATAATGACAAAATTGATTTGCTCCATTTGCGAGATTGAAGACAAATCCCCTTTGAAATCGTGTTTGATGCGTTCGCATTAAGGCAAGTGCATCACTGTGCTGGAAAATGGAGCAGATTGTTGAAGTGATATTATGGTGTGATAAATGGGCAGGACTTTAAAGCAGTGCGTCAGTGGGCTGGGGATTTGTGCACTTTCTGTTAAAGGAAATTAGGTGTAAATATCTTAATCGGTTACTTGAATTAATGTTGGATTATTTGCTTGTGTAAAGGAAATGCCTAAACTGGAAGATGGATTACATTGTTCAATTGAATTGCTATTATCAAAGAAAATTTGGTTTTGGATGATATGAAAATAGTCAAACAAGTATGTATGTTTACAAGATAAAAAAATTAAACCAACCATCTGTTCCCTAACTAGTCCTTTGACTTGAAAGCATTGAAGTGTAATTTGTTCCTATTGTAGTGGGCATATTTTAGATCGTGTTTTTGAATCAACCGACTACATAATCTCTGAGGTGCATTTCAGAGATTGCACTGAACCCTCAGTGCCTCAAGTTTTTTTAAGCATTTCATACGTGCTATATTGCTCATTGGCTGCACATCGGCAATGGGTTCTGCAGAATCAGGAAATACAGCACAGAAGGAGGCTACGCGGCCCATTGAGCCTACAATAGTACTAACTCCTCCCACTGGAGCAATCCACTCTAATTCCATTTCCTTGCTCTTTCCCCATCTCCATTTGTAGATTTATGTGCTCACATAGCAGAGCACATATAGATGTGAGGCATGTCCTAAACTGAAAGACATCCGATCAATCTGCACTGAATGTAAAAAATGTCCGCATATCAGATGAGCTCTTTCACTTGTTCCCCAAATGCAGTTGTGTTACTTCAGCCTTTAAGTACACCACTTAACATACCAGGTGAATGTACATTTAATTCCTTTTGTAATCCTGGTTCACTCAAACACATTCCTATTTAAAGAAATATTTGTGTTTCTTACGAAGCACGCCGTTGACGTGTTCAACACTGGCTGACTAAACATCATTTTAAGCACTGTTTGAAGCTATTAAATCTGAATAGATTCTACAATAATATCGTGGATTTCTATTTGCTGTGTTTACTTTATGCATTTTAACTGCAGTAAGAAGAGAAGCAAAGTGCACTTTTGTAGATGTTGCATTCCAGTGTTTTGGCTGTAACTTGATTTGCCATCACAAGTTATATTTAAACAGCGCCTTTCCCATAAAAGAATCATTGTGAATTTTGCAGAATGAGATTAATTAGATATGAGTGACTATTATTCTGGAGGCGAATAATGTCAGCTAATTTAGACTTGCGATGACTTGTCATGAGGCTCATCCAGATTTGATGCTGGCAACACAATAAGATATCGTGACTATATCCCTCACTTTGATATCTAGGATTTAGATTCTGAGAATTACTCAGATTTGGTAATCCCTTTGGATCAATCTGTGGCTCTTAATTGTTAATCTTTTAAGAAATAAAAAGGTCATGTTTAACTTTCAGTAAAATTCCTATGTGGAATTGTCTCCGTCTATCCCGAAATCCCAGTTTTTCTAGAAAACCTAGTGGTCAGGTATTAGGTGGTTTCAAGATAAGATCATGTTTGTCACTAATTTATCTAAGAGGATTTGAGACACTTAATCCAGCATCTCTTCATGCCTCATTGTATTCTCTTTGTGTATGTGGATGGGGCTTGCTATTTCCTGATTTCATCTTAACAAGTTGTTGTTATTTTCTCTCTCTCCAGGTCAATCGGTTCTTAATATTTTTCACACTTTTCAGAAAGTAACAATATTAAAGGAATTTCCGAGGATTATTGTCCATCGTTACAGATCAGGCAATCGAGAATGGATCGCATTCCAGCACTTTAATCTCCCCAGGTGCCAGGTCAGTGAAACTGCCTGAGGGAGGGATGAGAGTCCATATTTCCTGGGATATGCTGTGGTTTCTTAACTGTATATGTGGAAGCTGTGGATGGTGAGTGCTTTGTTTGTGTGNTTGGGGAGGGAAATGCAGTCCAATATACTCTCCGTTTCCAAAGAATTGTAAACGTTGTCATGTTTGTTGGGTGACTGCAACCTGTACAGGAACACACTTTCTAATCCAACCAATGACACTGTACCAATTGAAATTAGCACCTAGTCAGAATATGATACTGTAGAATATGATAATACAAAGTTTGATTACCTGAAGCGAGAATAATAATAATCCTTGCGTTTGATATTACGCTTGATCACGTCTTCGAGACGTCTCACAGAATATACTACAATACAAACGTTTCTGTAACCTAGTTTATTCACAATTTATTTAGCAATAGTAGAATGTTGTTCCATCAACGAACATATTGTGTCAGAATATCGTTTCCCTCTTCCTAAATAACCACCTCCTTCTCAAACATCCAGGACAAGACAAAAAAGCTTTAACCACAATGTAAATATAAAGCAAGCCACGAACCTATTGTTAGTCGTGAGTAGAAGCCGCATGTTTTCCGCCATATTTTGTGTCGTGCACATCGAGGTGCACAGTAAGTATCTTTGTCAGAAATCCAATGATCGGATAAGTATGATGGTGTACGTGTCCTTTAGTTTGCTTTGCTAGTCAGTTTACACAACAGCACATGATTGAACCAGTGTGTGATCTTGTAGGTATGATGTGTGTGTGTGTACGTATTCAGTTCAGCATCAAATTGCAACCACAGAACGTTGAATTCCTAATTCAAGCAATTTTGATTATGGAAAGGATTTATAAGAGCAAACTACTGTAACTGGTTTGGGTTTGTTTGATCCAATCTTCATATTTATGTTTGTAATTTAAGTCTTGGTTTGCTATTCCTCTTTTAGTATGTAACCAAAGTTGATCAGAGGCTACATCAACGTGCAAAGCCGAAACCTGAACCAGTAGCAGCGACAACTTTTCCAGAAAACGGTGACACTGTTCTCCATTCAGTGCAGCAAATTCCTACAGTCACATCTCACCCGTCCAGCCTTCAAGAGAGTGATGGCAGCACAACACAGAGAGATGAAACAGCTGAGGTAGCGGAGGACAAAGCAGAGGCACATCATGCCAGGGAGGCCAGGCAATGGAAGGCGATGAAGGTGCAGCTATCAGACCTGCCAGGAATCTATGCAAGACTCTCCAAAATAAAGCTTACAGGTAATGTTTGATCATCCTTTTCGGTGACATAAAGGAGATCAACACTCTATGTTATTGTTTATATCCAGCAGGAGATTGTAAGCCCCAAACTAGTTTGCCTTACAATCTCCTGCTGGATATAAACAATAAAAAAATGGCTCGGTGGGTAAATAATAATAATTATTCGTCGTGCGTGATTGGCTGCCGAGTTTTGCCCACAAAATACAGTCACTGCACTTTACAATATATGCTGTGAAGCGCTTTGAGATGTCTTGTAGATGTGATGAGGTGCTGTATCAAATGCAAGGATTATTATTATTGTTGATTGACTGTGTATTTTGTGGGTGAAACGCGGCAGCCAATTGCGCACAGATAACACTTTGGAGTGGGGAGGATTACTGAGCTAATCAGACTAGCAGAGTTACAGGTTCCATCTTTTAGCAAATGTTGAATCTATATCTAGGATTAGATTTTGACCACAGCTCCTCTAGTTAACTTAGTTTTGACTTCATGACTGTTTGTGGAGCCTTGTGGGTAAATTGACTCCTGCAGTTGTACATTCCTACACTTGACAGCAATTATATGTAACCATATTTGATACGTTTTGACGTTATAAACATGCCAGCAAATGCAAGGATTATTATTATCTGTTGGTTCATGTGGAGAAAAACAGTAACCCAGCCCTGATAGGCCAAATGGCCTGTCTCTGTGGATTAGTATTCTAGGATTCTATGACATGATTAGCTCAAGTGGCTGATGGGCCAGTAACAGGTTGTGAAATACTATTGTCAGAGATTTATGATAAACATTTATGTTTATATAAATATTTAAGTGCTCCGAGACGCTGTCCGGTGCGAAGGACGCTATATAAATGCAAGTTGTTGTTGTTCCAAAAGCGATGCACCTTATTCCAATTGAATAGCTGAACTTGCAAGTAATGAAACTTGTTAGCAAAGTAGGAACTGAGTTTGTTTTTCCATCAACAACAGACTGGCAGTAGATTTGAAAGGCTCATCTCTCCATTCAACTGCTTATCATCTTTGGTGTAAGATGTGTCTAAAATTATAGAGGACAGAATTTTTTGGGTAGCCTTGTAAATGTCATACATTTCGCAAATGGCAGCTTTCAAGTTAAATTGCACGAATGCTAGAAGACTGAGCCTCCATGAAGGAGATGGCTCGACTTATTTTCTTTCCCTTGACTTTTACTCCTGTGTAATGAGGACTACCTCTGTCCATTAGCGTTAAATGCTGCAACAGAGGTCACTTCTAGTGGTCTGCAAGTCTTTCATTACACTGTATGAAGCTTATCATTAAACACAGGGCCAAATTACAGAGAAATCCAGACTGGGTGAGGTGTTTAAGGATATCTAATATCTTGATGTTTTAGCGGTACCCTCAGAGGAAGATCAGAGGAAAATACCTCACCAAAGATTGCAAAGGCCAACTCAAACATTTTAAAAAATGGGCATTATGAAGCTGTAAAAGTGCCAAGTATTTCTGGAGTTTTTAAAAATATCCAACTCCACACCATTCTAAATTAGGCTACATCATTTGTTTTTTACTGTAGCACAGACTAGCTGCCTGGCTCTGTACTTTGCGTGAAACATGGGCGTGACACAGCAGTGACAGCCTTGCATACATTTTTTTTGATATAATCTATACAGTTTACTCTTACGGAACTTTGTTCTGTAGAGGAATGTGTGCTAAACTGAACCTGTTTAAAATACCATCCGTCCCAGATAATGAGCATCCTGGGATTGAGAACATTCATCTAAATGTAATATGTCTCCATGTGTTCCGTGGTGTTTATTCAAACAGAAAGACGTAATACAAGGAACATTTTGCCTTTGGTGCCTCGTCCAGGGTAATTTATTTCCGAATTTGTAGCAATTTGAATGGGAAGAAATCTTAAACAATTCATTATTGCATTGTGGGAGAAATTGTTTTATAAATTTGCGGCACAGCAGAACGTAAATGCAACTCCTGTTATTTGACCATTTAATAGAATTAATTAACCAAAAGGTTCCATTGAAGACCATTTAATTGGCACCGCAGCTGCGTTTAGGGGATGAAATGTATCGTGAAAGGTCAATGGTGGCAACAAGTCATTTGTTTCCCACTTGTGTTTTACTATAGATCAGTCATGCTGGCAAAATTCTGGCAAGAAACGCTCAAAATAATTTCAAGTTTGACATTTAATTAACTACCCATCTGTTGTTGACCACATCAATTATAACAAAAAAATTAATTTCCAGAGTTCAAAGAATTTTAATAAAAAAAGGCAATTTTTCGGGAATGTATCCTCATTATCAATTTCTTTTAAACTATTTGTCCTTGTTGCACTAAATGGAAGGGTGAGATTTTGTTGCTTACAAATAGTTTACCATTCAAACTAATAAATCAAAGAGTTATAATAATAATAATAATCCTCGCATTTGATATAGCGCTTTTTACGTCGGGAGGACGTCCCAAAGCGCTTCACAGAATATACTGTAAAGTGAATTGACTATACTTGTGGGCGAACGCGGCAGCCAATTGCGCAAGGCAATGCCCCACAAACAGTCGTAGATTGAAAATGACCAATTTATTATTGTTTTTGGTTTTGGAGGGATTATTATTAGGCTCTGTGTGGAGTAAGGAAACTTGCCCAAGGTTTCGCCCTCTGCCTGGAATTGAACTCAGGTCTCTCGCTTGCAAAGCGAGTGCTCTAACCACTGAGCTACAGGACTCCAGGAGTTGTCTTATTTTCAAGTAAAATGGCCAACAACATCAAAATTACATTTGTATAGTGCTTTTCACGTCGGGAGGGCATCCCAAGGCGATGGACAATCAGTGTTTTGGCCTACACATTGTTGTATACATTAGATTTCATTCAGATTTTCAATTGCAGAAAATTCTTAAATTCCCTAATTTTGGGGATATACAGTAATTTGATTTTATTTGATTTGATTTTAAATCTCCTTTTGCTTCACCCCTTTCCTCCTACCAACACTGCAACAGTGATTCACACTATGGCGATATTTATTCATGAATATGAAGATACTAGGAAAGTGTTCAATTATTATCCACTGTGACTGTCGGAATTGGATGTGTGGGATGCCACATAACTTCATTGGTTACTGGCTCCCACATCATCTGCCTTTCTGTGCCATGAACCACTCCTCAGTTGGTTTGATAAGTCAGTCCAAGTCAATGCTACTCTTGAACATACTCTAGGAGTGAAGTGTGATCTGCACCTGAATTTATTTTATGCTGTCTTCTTCCCTCCCCACACTCCCCCATTACTAACACTGGCAGATCCAAGAGCTGTGTGGACAGGGGCATAGGATCATATATCCCACATCCGTCCTTGGATTTTATACAAATTGCATAAAGGTGCTTCTTCTTGGTACATGGGTTGCTTTTGAGAGTGCTGCTGTTTACATTATTACTGTTTACATAGAAACGTGAAAATATCTGCACAGGAGAAGTCCGCCATGTCACTGGGATCTCAGCTTTCCTATATTTCCTCCCCATTTTAAATCCCACTCTGTTTGCTCATACCCTTGCAGTTTAGTAATGATATTGTGTTTTTGTGCACTTAGTTTCCATTGAGACTCCCTTGAATCTCTTTGGAATATTTCAGAACCACAAGAAGGGGCGAATATCTTCTGCTTTCTGCTGATGTGCTGGTGACAGTGAACTTTTTTTTTACCCTGGATTCCTGGCCTTCAAGTGACAGGAGTGTTGACTAAATTTCCTTCAGGTGTGCTAATGGATTGTTCAGTTAGATGGCTAGTTTGTTTGATCAAGTTATCTGCGTGAGTATTTTGTATCCATCGGTCTCCATATGGCACAAATTTGTTCCTACATAACGTGAACCTATTATGAGATTATGGATCAGGAATCCAGAAACTAATGGCCAACCATTAGTTGACATCTGATACTTATAATGAGCAGCCTGTTGCCTTATTCTACACCAACTCTGCTGTAACAGTATACATCTGTATGCTGTGCAATTAAACAAGACCAAACGGCACCTGTTGAAGGGGATTTAATAATTTATCAAGTGATTAAACTGTACTGCAGCGAGACGCTTGGAGTCTAGCAGTTTGTTATCTGGCCAGAGTCCAGGGGAGGAAATAGCTTAGACCAGTTCAATTTATTAAGTAAAGTTTATATCAAGTAAAGTTCACTGCCTGATGACCAGCACAGTCTGCTGGTTAATTACAGGTTGGGCAGTACAATTATGGTGAAGGATCTTTAGTAACCTGTACTGGTTTGGTACGAAGGCAGATGGCTTGGAAGCCCCATCTAAAGAATAACCGTACCTGTTGTTGAGAATGGCAGCGAAGGAGAGCAGGAAAGACTTCCACAAAATCATTGTTTAAAATGTTAACTGGTGATAAGGGACCAGGAATTCTAAAGTCTGACACTGCTGTTCCATAGTTACTGTACAGTGCATGTGTATATACAATAGAGCTTGTCATAACTCGCTTCATTTTAATGCACTTCATTATAACTCAGGTTTGTTTATTGTGCGATTGGGGTATGCTGCACCTCGACATTGACTTTACAAAAGAAATCAAAAATGTGCACGGAAATCCGACAGACTCACTTCAAATTGTCAGCTGGGTTCTCACAAGCTAAAAATTGTCCGCATTTTAGGTCATCGGGTTACCACTGATGTCACTTACTGCACGCATTGAAGTGAGCCATCATTCGCTTGGGTTCTTGGAGCCCCCCAATTGCTGTATAACTGTTCGCTACAATATTTGTGATGTGAAAATGCTCCCCTTGTGAACATGTCAAATTCTGAAGATTATTTTTCATACAATATAGCTTTGCACATCTGAGGCCTGACATTTTCTTACAGTCGAAACATTAAGATCATGATCTTACACTTAAAGATTATGCAAATTGTTTTAAAATTCTTCCTTAATTTGAAAGCTTTCTGTTGCAATCTTTGAAAAGAATGGGCTTACAAATTCAGACTGAAGTTAGAGTTTTCTAAAATTCTGCGCATTTTAAATTAAGTGAACACATTTTGCATTGTCTTGACAATGGTCTGAAGGCTAAGACCTTAGACCAGTGGTGTTTAATTCTACTACGGGGTTTCAGTGATGTGAAAGGGCCATCTTATTGTCTCTTCACTGGTGCCCTCAGACACTTTGATGCAACATCAAACGTTTAGCAGCACAGTCAAGTTTTAAAAAGTTGACTGCTAAATTCTGCTAAATAACAGATGTCTAGAGAGTGAGTTACGGGTTTGCACGGGGTCTCTTGTTAGTTTCAGCTTGTGTGAGTGAGTGGCAGCCCCTCATGCACATACCAGTCAGAAAGCCAAAGCATGGCTGCATGTTTTCTGTCGCTCTCTCTCCTAAAGAAAGAAACAAAGAAATTGCCCTTTTAAGCACTTTATGACAATGAAATGCTCTCAAAGTGCTTCATAAGTGTGGTGATGCTTTTGTGGGCAATCACACAAGCCGTTTGCAACAGCATTATTCTCTGATTAACCCAAGGAAACATGCACTACAATCCTTAAATTCCTATAGCACTCTCTCCAAATGCTAAAGCAGGTCTGCTTCTCGACCCCTGCAAGTTGTCGTTTTGGATGAGGGAGACACAATAGCTTGAATACTTCATGCTTTTTAGATCACTGCCGTGGGATCTTTATCATTTGCCAGAAATACCAGATTCGGCAGATATGAACTCAGTTTAATACTTCAGCCAAAGGGTGCTGGGCTTCCACAGTGTGGTATTAGTGCTGTACTCTTTGTGACCTCAATTTGTTGGCAGCATCCTTCCTGCACGCTGTGCGAGCCCAATCCATTGCCTGTTCCGTACTCCCCACTTAATGTTATTTTCCAGAATATCTTTAAATGGTGAACAAATGGAGAGAATGAAAACTTAAGTTATTTTCCAAAACTGCAGTAGTTGGGGCCTCGAGGCTTATTTTGTTCAAAGATTTAAATAATTTTCCTGCAGGGATGATCCTAGAATATGCAATGAGTTGCACACAGCAGATGCATTACCAAACCCTCTAACTAATAAAGCTTTCAAAATGTTGTCACTGGGTAAAGGAGAAAGCTGTTAAATTGAAATAGTTTAATCCATTAAAGAAAGGGGGTCCTATAGCTCAGTGGTCAGAGAACTCGCCTGGCTTGCCAGAGGACCTGGGTTCGATTCCCGGGCAGTGTGAAACGTTGGGCAAGTTTCCTTACTCCACACTGCTTCTGTTTAAAGTAGGAACCCGGTTGTTAGTCAGTTGGCAGATCGCTTTTCTGGGGGTAATAATCCCTTAAAATAAATAAGTTTTAAATGGGCAGTCAATTCACTTTACAATATATTCTGTGAAGTGCTTTGATGTGATAGGGCACTATATCAAATGCAAGGATTATTATTAAGTAATACATAAATACCTACAGGCCTGAAAGCGTTTGCTGCTTACAGAAATAATGTGATCAGTTTCTCCACTTTTCTCTTCAGATAAATCCTCTCTTTTTTTAAAGTTGGCAATCGGACCAGCTCTGTGTTGAGGTAATTCTGACTTTATGTCTGTTTCTTTCAGCTTTAGTTGCAATGACTGCATCTGCCGGCTTTGCAATGGCACCAGTGTCCTTCGACCTTAGCTGTTTCCTGCTTGCCTCTGTTGGAACAGGCCTGGCTTCCTGTGCTGCCAATACCATTAACCAGGTGAGTTATTCATTGTAACACAAGGCAGGGCACTGGGTGGCACAAATAGGCAGGATTGAGTTTTATTTTCTTCCTTGGCAAGGAAACATTTGCTTAAGTTGTTTGGTGGGTTTTTTCCCCTTCACTTATTGTTGCGACAGCAGATATAAATCTTTTAGGGTGATTTGACGCTTCAAGAGACTGCACATGAAAGGGTATAGTGCAGTTAGGAGAGTGGGATTAGATTGGGTGACACGATAAGCCAAATAGCCTATTTCTACATTGTAGTGGGAGCAGGAATTCTTCCTACTCAGCTCCTGTTAACCTTTCAAGCCAAAGCCCTAATGGGTAGGGTGGTCCTAATAGCAAAAGCAGTGGGAAACTTGACATACAGGGCACTCAATGTCAAGCTGTGTGTTTTTAGCTGGTGGAACTTTAGAGGTACCACAACGCACACTCTGGGTTCCCCGAGCCTTGGCTATTATCAATCTGCATTCCTCCAGGGAGACAGAGTGTATTTCAGTTCAGAGAAGAAATTTCCATGTGTAGGTGGTATAAATATATGAAAATCTGTCTAATTTGGGTAATTTTAAACTTGATGAAGGGTTTCTGCATGTGTCAAACTCCTGCTTATCCAAAATAATGATTGTGTAGCCATTCTATGATTTTATTCGCTGTCTCCATTTGCAGGACCTCCTTTTGAATTGCATTTAGTTTGTAACAGTTTAATAGGGTGTAATAGTGCCAAGGGTTTACTTTTGGAGTTCCATCAAGGTTCAATACTGTAACCGCTCTGCAATGTTTTATTTGTGATCTGTCAAGACGAAATTACATAAGGCTGATTAGGTTCCAAATTTCCTTTCTTTTATTCTTGCCAATTTTCTCCCCTCCTGTCCTGAATTTGTTTTAGAAAATATTTCTCTTTCTACTGAGATACGGCAGTGGCCTCTACAGCGAGGGGCAGAAGGCGACTTGATTCTGGGGACATTAGAGCCAAGCTCAATCGTATATGATGACCAATAGAACATCAATTATAGTTCAGTCTTAGATCAGACAAGCTGCTGATTAAACCTGGGGCCTTCCTGGTTAGTATGGGCTGAGCAACAAGCTGACAAAAATCATTGAACCATGGGGAGGGCTGAGATCCACATTTCTTGCAGCAAAATCCCACCCAGAATGTTTAATTTAGGGAAGAAATTCTAACAGGTGCTCTTTGCACTGATTGCACAACAGGCTGAAGGTTTCATTTTATACATCACATAGATTGTGGTTTATTGTTGTTTAAAACTAGCACCTTTTTTGTCTGCGTTAGACGGCTATTCTGTTAACAATCTGCAATCAATGGTATGTTAGCAGAGGTTTTTTTTCCACTTCTTGTTTTATTTAATTTTCTTCTATGCCTTTCCTCTCCTGGAGGAGTTTATTAACTGCTTGCCTCTTGCTGGGTTACAATGCCATGTTTGGCTGTCCCACATGCTGTTGGTTATGACCATTTGAGCAGGTGCTACTCCATTTTACATGCAGTGCTTTGAATACCAGTGTTTTTGATTAGCTGTCCTTGCAGTTACCAGTCGCTTTTCCCTCAAAATATTTTCGTTCAGCACAATAGCTGTTTTGCTAAAAGCTGTTTCTTTGATGAACAAAGTTAACTTCACTGTGTCTGGCGAAACTTCTTAAGAGATACAGCAGCTTTAACATAAAGCGTCGAAAGTGTCTTTAGTTTGTACAGACCGGATTTCAGGAAGCCATTATTTCATAGATGAAGCAAATTCAAAAGGAGAGAGAGGACTGCTCCATTTAGTTTGAAAAGGTACGGTTAAAGGTGGCACTTTATAGTTTTTCTGCTGAATCATCACTGTATTTGATAAAATTATTCATTTAGGGACTTTACTTGCAAATGTGAAAAACCATGAAAGGTGTACTCCACCTAATTTAAGTAATAATGGCACAGCTTGGCAGCTCTTCAGATATTTATCTATCAGACAAGCTAAACTTTGGCTCAATTAACAGAACCAACACCTCTATATAAAAAGGTTGTAGGTTCAAGTCCTGAGTTGGGCATTGAGCTCACAGACTAGGTTGACCGACACTGGAGTGCTGGGAGAACAGCAGCATTGTTGGAGGGGCCATCTTTGAATGAGGTTATGAACTGAGGTCGGTCTGCCTTTTCAGGTGGATTTTTAAGATCCATGACTCGATTGGAAAAGTGAAAGGGATTTCTCTCACTTTCCTGCCAGAAGTTGTCCAGATAAATTAGTCATTCACAACTTAGCTATTTGTGGGAGCTTGCTGAGGGCAAATGGCTATCACAATTGCCATTAAAAAATAAAAATAAAAATAAAATAAAAATTTTGAGGTTTGAGAAAGTCAGTGGGAAGGGAGAGGAAGAATGAGGAAGGAAACAAGTGCGTGTGTGAGAGAGAGAGAAAAAGAGGGACAGACGGAAACAAACATAGGTAGGGAAAACAAATATGAATGAGTGTGATAGTTGGAGATAAGAGAGAGCTGAAAGATAGAAGAGAAAATGCGTGTCGTACAAGGTTGATTCAGGGAATAGACAGATACAAAATTTGACTGACAGTGTGTGAAAAATAATAGTGTGAGGGAAGAGAGTGGCAAAGGCAGTCATTTAGAAAGACGAGAGTGACACAGATGCAATGATGGACACAAAGACAGAGGAATGAGATTCACAGAGAGAATAAATACAGGGAGACAGGCATAAAATGGGGACAGGGAGAGGAAGTGAGAAAGGTAGAAAGACATGAACATAAATGGAAGCCAGAGGCTTGTTCAGAAACAAAGCAGAGTTATGCTTGCTAACAATAGCTTATTCCTACAGACAGATCTTTGTTCCCAGGTAAACCCGCCTCCCTATTGCTCAACCTGGGATGGGCTATTTTGTCAGTTATAGTATAATCTAGGTTGATTCTACAGTGGAGACCTGAGGAATTGCTGTATTGTCAAGAGGTGCTGTCCTTCAGTTGAGATGTTAAACCGAGGTCTCTTTTCCTCTTTTGGTGGTTCAAGTGACTCTAAAGATCCTGCTGCACTATTGAAAAAGCGCTGGAACTTTTGTCCCGGCTAATATTCCTCCCTCACTCATAATTTTCCTGACACAGTTTCGCTCCTCTGTTTGCCTGCCTGACAGTCATTAGACTTCCTAAAGCACTTTTCCTGCACACAACTACAATACTAGGTAAACGAGCAGGACTGTACTTTTTTGTGGTTTTAATAATGGAACCAATAAGAATAACCCAAGTTTGAGACATTCCATTAATTTATAATGATCTGTGGTGTGTGATGCCTTGTGTTCCTGTAGGTTTTACAACTAACATTTAAAGTGCCAATGAGGGTCTTGTTCAGCCTTACAATTTTGTAGTGTGAGCGTTTATGATTCCGAACCCACGAGTGGAAGTGTTGCTCTTGAACACATTGCACTTATTGCCACAGAAAAGGGCAAACCCTGTTTGTTTAATGATGCAATCGTACTGTTATTTGGCTTGCCAGAGGAAACAGACAAATTATGCATTTGACCTTCCCCATTTTATTTTTTCAGCTGTGGGAATTACAATGGTTACCAGCGGGAGTGCACAGCTAGAAATCGCGATTATGTTTTTTTTAAAAAGCGCGAGGAATCGTTTTGACAGACCTCAGCCAACCTGAGTACATGCTAGAGAGCAGCATTCCATTAAGGAGTATAAACACCTGATCGTCTCCTGTGAAGTCTGCTCGGTTTTAACTAGATAAGTTGCCTTAAGCCGTGGTGCTTCCTTTCATCTCCCTGTCTGATGAAATGATTGTGAGGGTGACATGTCACAGCATTCCTCAGCGGTTTCATCTGTACCCTAAGTGCTTACAGATATCAGTGCTTTTTATAGTCTGTGTGAAGGTGCATTATACCTGCTTTAATTAGCAACAGAACTGCCTTTCATTAGCGATAAAGTAATGATGGAGACTAGAGAACATGCTCATCATCATCAGTATTCGACATAAGCCGAAGCAAACTGCATATTGAGCTACAGGCACACCGAAAGAATTGCTCAACATCTTTGCAGTAAATGGTAATATAAGTATGTTTGTAGAGTCCATCATCTGATGGAATGTGGACTGTCTGTAACCAATGTTTGTAACCAGTGTTTAGTGTTGTGATGGCTGAAATTGCTGCCTACTTACAGTTCATCTCCCGGCTCCAAAAAGAAGCAAATATTAAAAGCATCATGATTCGCTCTCAGTTTATTTCAATAATAAAACTGTGGGGAATATAACAGTGACTTGCATTTATACAGTGCCCTTCACGTGGGGTAGCATGATACTATAGAAATTTGAATAAAGAATGCGTCACCTCACTGTGAAAGAGGGCTCAGCCTTTGCTCTTGATTAAATAACTGTTTAACTTCTAATTATTCTACATTTACTCTGATCAACATCTCCTTACTGATGTATTTGGCTAAAATGGGATTGATTTAAAACCTGAATGTCTCAAAAGTCCTCAGCCTTTTGCATCTTAACCTGTACAGCCATAACTTTTGTACCATTGGCTCAAATTAGGTCCTTGAAACATGGATCAAAATGAAGCTGAAATACTATTTTTAAACAAGACCTGTGGGTATAGTAAATAGGACAGGTAGGTTTCAATTAATGCAAACCGTTTGTATAAGTGACTGGTTCTGTGGCTGGATCAGAAGATTACCTGTGTGATTGATCTGAGCAGCTGTGGATAAAAGTTGATGGATCTCTTGCCAAGGTCTCGGATCACAAATAAACATTGCGCTGGGGGAAGGAGGAGAAGGAGGAGAGGGTGAAAGGCATTCCAGAGTCATCTCTGAGGAAAGCAGTTAAGGGAAAAGAAGAAAGGAAAGACTATCGCTTCAAAACATCTTTTCAGCTCTGTCTGTAGATTGTATGAAAAGTCCTGTCATTGTCTTTAACTTTGTCTTCAAGATTTCCTGAACTGGTCTCAACAGAACTTCTGAAATCACTGTCATTGGTTGTCACTTTATGTTCCATGATTGCAAACCTTT